TCACAGGGCCTCTCTATCCACCCATGTCCCCACTCTGCCTGCCAGGTGGATGCTTCTGGGGCTCCAACCAAATTTAGTCCCTTCATTGCTGCCCCTCTGTGGAGTTTTATTTGCTCTTACCAAAGGGTTTGACCCTGCAAGGGCAAAGCAAGAGTCCAGCCAGGCTAAAATGCCTGAATCCCTCTTCAACAACAAAGGAAGCGGGACCAGCTGGGAGAGCATGGATCTGAACTCAATAGCAAGTGGTAAAGTGGAATTGATTTGAGCCGCCTGCATTCATCGATCTGAGGCTGAGCAAACTAAGGAGCTGGAGCATTTGCAGCTCAATCAGAGCAACCAGCCAGTGGGGGCCTATGCTGTGGGGTTGGCAGGGGACCCGAATGCCAAGTCAGGTGTTAATGGTGGGTTTGATTAATCCAGCTGAAATAGCCACACTCACACAGCTGGGTCATTCTCCAGACAGACTCACTAGCTTTGCATTGGTGAACCGCCCCTTGCATCCCCTTTATGTCTCTTAATAGGACTGTCATCAACCATCAGGAACATGGGCTCAGTGGACAAGAGCAAAACAGTGGYCATTCCTTCCACAGAGAGGCGATTAATTGTAATTGCCACCAGCCCAGTTTCTCTGAAAGGGCTGAGAGGCARAAAAAGGTGAATTCAGAGAGGAGTGCAAGAGATGGAGAGGTGAGRGCTGGCAGGCTGCCTGGCACTTCATGGTGGCCTGTTTTCTGCCCACTCAGCAGCACAAAGCTGGGTTAAGAGGTGTCTGTSTGCAGGCCATAAATCCCTGAASCMCRGGGAGGCTCTGGCTGYACACAGACAAAGGGAGAATGAGAGCAGGGCAGTAGCATGTGGGCACCTGGATCATTCAGATATCACCAAAGAGACGCTATCTGCAGTTTACCATCTTCTCGTCAGCCAGTTTGATGTAGGAGAGCATCTCCTGCTGCAAAGGCTCCCACCTTTGCTGAGCGACCATGATGCACACCAGCAAACTGCTGAGGGCAGGGGGGCATAGACAAAGTGGGGACACAAAAAGCCATTCTTGTCTTCCTCCATCACTCTGAGCTCTTTTCGGCTGGTTGTGAGAAAGATGAGCTCAGGGTGGCAGGAGCAATTATTTYACAGGAAGACTGTTTTAAATTTAGGATTTGTCAGCTGCAGCAGATACACCAGAATGGAGAGGGTGCAGGGATATGCATGGTCGTAGGATCCCCCTGCCTCTCCCTGCACCCCCTCCCATGGGCGGTCCATACACATGACAAGCAATGAGCTCATCCCGTACCRGGGAGCCAATGTTTCTGTGACCAGCTCTTCAGAGAGAATGAGTCACGCTGCAGTCACTCTAAAACGTTTTATGTCAAGAAATCCTTTTGATCCCAGGTGTTTGGAATTCTTTGCATATCTGTGAAAATGAAAGAACCTTTAATAATGGGAGCAGCAGCAGTGGTGGGAGCAGAGTCATTAGCTATTGATATGTGCTTGAGCAGGAAAAACAAGGAGCCCRGCACAGACTGATCCCTAGTGCTGTTTCAGGGGGATAAAATCCTTAGTCCCTCTCTTCCTCTCCCAACTCTCTGTGCCCAGTCGTTCATTAATCCTGTGGTGRAGAAACTTTACTCCCTGAGAAATATGCAGGGGGCCAAGGGGTGAGGTTACAGCTACGGGGAACAGGGTTGCCCTGGGATACAGAGGGCTGGGATGAGGGGAGGGGTGAGGATCAGGTTCAGAGCAAGGGAGCTGGGCCAGAGTAGGGGCTGGGGCCAGGAGCGGCTGAGGGCCATAAGAGCACCGGGGCCACAGGCCGGGCTGCGGTCGCGGAGCGGGGACAGGCTCGGGGCCCATCACCGCCGCCCCGGTCCCACACGGGGGACGCGGACGCAGCTCCGGCGCTGCCCCTCAGGAGCGCCGGGAGGGGAAGGGCGGGAACGCCCAAGGGCGGGAACGCCCAAAGACAGCCCGGCCTCACCGCCACACGTCAGCGCCCACAGAGCCAAGAGGCGCCGCGCCGCCCCGCCCGCCCAGAGCCCCGGTAGCGCGCCGTGATCGTATAGTGGTTAGTACTCTGCGTTGTGGCCGCAGCAACCTCGGTTCGAATCCGAGTCACGGCATCGCCCGGCGGTACCACGGCACACGGGCTCTGCTTTTTGCCATTTTTCTTTGAGACACTGAGCCCTTCACCCTCCGTGTTTTTTTTGTCACGTCCCGCCGATATTTCATTTTTCTWTCCTTTTTTTCGCCGACTGCCGGCGGGGCTGCAGAGCGGGGCCGGGCTCGCCCAGCGCGGGTGGTCTGCGGGCGCCGACGAGAGAAGGAGCGGAGGGACAGGAAACAATCAAATAAGATGAAAAAAAATACATAAAACTAGAAATAATAAATAAAATTTTTAAATGTAATTAAAAAATAAAGTAAGGGGAGGAGACAGAAGGGAAGGGGAGGGGATGGGAGAGAATGAGGTACAAAGTAAGAGTAAAAGTGACTAAAAACAGAATAAAAAAATTAAGCAGAAATAAAATAGAAAAGTAAAATATAATAAAAACATATAAAATTAGATAAAGTAATTAATAAAATTAGATAAAGCTAAATAATTAAATGAAAAATAATATAAAATGAACTATTAAAATAAAATTAAACATAAAAATAAAATGCAGTAGAAAAAAACWAWRWRAAAAAAAMAWTCGATGACTTAAAGGTAAATACAATAAATAAATAAAATTTTAAAGTAGAATATGATAAAGAAAATAAAATAAAAGAATAAAACATAAGTAAAGATGAAAAACTAAAAAAATTACATTAACCAGATAAAATTAAATAGAAGTAAATTAAAAGATATTAACTCAATAAAAAATTCAAATAAATTAAAAATAATTAAAATAGGTTCAAAATAATAAAAGAGAATAACGACATTAAATTACGACATAAAGCAAAGCGGTAAAGAGCCCCCGCAAAAAGCGGAGCCCGTGTGCCGTGGTACCGCCGGGCGATGCCGTGACTCGGATTCGAACCGAGGTTGCTGCGGCCACAACGCAGAGTACTAACCACTATACGATCACGGCGCGCTACCGGGGCTCTGGGCGGGCGGGGCGGCGCGGCGCCTCTTGGCYCTGTGGGCGCTGACGTGTGGCGGTGCTGGAGGTTTCTCGAGCACCTCGCGAGTGTCTCACGAGTGACCCACGCGTGTCGCGGGGCTGGGCGGCTTCACCCAGGAGGAGGGAGGGGACTTACACCAGTGTCGCACCCTCAGCTTCCAGGCTTTACCTCTTTGTCAGCCAAATACCGACCTGCGCCATCGCACCCTTGCCCCTCCCCAACCCTGGACAGCTTTAGCGGCGGATTGGCAGAAATCCTCACGGAGAAGGCGCGGAACTGGCACGGAGAACGTTTGTTTACGGGAAGCGTGTGCCACGTGGGTGACCTCAGTGCCCCGTGGTGTCATTAATCACCAATCTCTGAACTGATTCCTGCCAACCCCGGCTTGGCACCCTCAATTCAACACTCCCTGTGCAAACAAAGAGCGGGAGGTACCAGTGGGGTGCACAGACCTGGCCATACGATTCTCACCAGTGTGGTTTCCAGGGGATGTTTTTGTTGGCTTCCACGCCATCCTTCTCAGGGATCAGGTGATGTGACTTCACACCACTGAAGCTTTGGAAGCCACGTGTGCCCCACTCTGGATTTTTTTGGGAAGCATTTCCTGGGGTGGGGTAAAGGTTTTATTTCTACTTTCAGTATCTTCTTAACTCAAGGCTAGTTTTTCCTGGACGGAAACTCTTCCGGGTGACCTTTCTCTGGGAGGCACAGTGTTCTGCACGGCCACGCCGCTGGGCTCTTCTGCACGCCCTCCCGGGCGCCCGGGTGTGAGCCCCGGGAGGAGCCGGGGCGGCCCCGGCGCCGCAGTGCCCAGCCCAGCTCTTTGGACCGAGCAGTTAATGGGTAACCGGGGCACGGGACCGGGAGCTGCGGGCCGGCGG